CGCCTTAGGGCAACCACCTAGTACCTAGGGGACCCCTCTCTGCGAAAGTCTTCATATTTCTCACTTCAAAGCCTCGGTGAGCTTCCAAATGTTGAGAAACTTTCTGCTGGCAGGGCACACCGGTCAACCGCGTGGCATTCGGATTATTCCACGCAGGAGTGGGTATGCCTGGCGGCATTCACTGTAAGCACCAAAATCTCCACCAGTTCCGATAAAATGATCACTGCAGCACAAGCACAATATGTCTGGGCAGTCAGCCTGTGGTGGTCGTGTTGGACAAGACGGCGGGTTCCCTTGGTTGGAATGAAGCTTCCGAAAATAAGTTACAATCATGCTGCTCCAACATCGAACGGCATCTGATCTGATTAGGGAGTTCGACTAGCTCAGTATTGGAATCAAACCTGACTATCCTGAGCACGAACTTCCCATTGACTCCTATAGTGAAGCTGCACAGTCGTTTGAGTCTGAGCTATCAACGTCTCCCTCTGGCCGTGGGCATTGACGTAGAGGCGCGAGATGTTGACGAGAATAAGCACGCCTGTCGCAAAACAAGCTTCTGAGCGCAGACTGCCAAAGCTCATGCTGCTCGGCGTCTTGGCATGTCTTGACCTCTCTTACCTCTTGAACTGTGCCTACTCGTCGAAGCTTGTTGCGCAATATGCGTCCAGCATGTGCCAAATCCTGCAAACAACGACAACACTGCGGCGGCCAAACGGCAGATCTTCTCTGGCCATGCGCCATGGTCCTTCTCGGAAATGTAATTCAACACTGCGGTCAAGTTAGTCGAGTTTGGCACCAACATGCTGAACCTGGCCGGTCGGCGCGTGCCCTTCTCCAGTGGCAGTTGCTAAGAGCATCAGCTTGTTTATCAGTTGCTATCGTTTGAACCCACACTTCAGCCAGAGCTGTGGTAGCTTGCCCACCTCTTCCAGGAAAGCCCATGTGTACAGTCGTACCAGAGGCGCAGGTAAAGCATGGGAACCGTCAATTTGACTTCACCCCAACAGCAGTCGTTGGTTCTACTGGAGGCACGTTTTGATTGGGGCACACCTACTACCTCCATATCCATGTAAGGGAAATTTACCAGCCACATGAAGCTGAACTTGACTCCACTATGTTGTCCGAGTCAGGCACCATTCGACAACATCACGGGTCTTGGCAAGATCTGGCATCATGGACACGTGTACACCTCAAACAGAGTATGGGAGGGTACCCAGCTTCTTCCACGTCTCGGAATGCCTTTCAAAGTTTTCGCATATGCAAAGCTGAGATCGCATCGTCTCACAGGCAACTCTGCAAATTCTGCCAGAGCTTCTCTACTCACCTGCCGATGCAAAGAAGGCTAAACTCAGCATTGCAACTGGGACAGCAACAATCTCCGTGACCTGCTCCACCAACGGGTTCGCCGCGTAGCTCACGGGATCTTCTGTGATGATGTGCATGGCCTACAAGCTGACACAGTATAAGGCTGTTGTTGCCTGCTGAAGTCATACTGCAAGCAAGTGACCCCAGTAATCTGGGATGCATATCCTTTCCGAATCAGCTCTTCTGTTGTGACCTTGCCAGCATTGAGGATCAATGCGAAAAAAAAATGTCAGCCCTCGGGCATGCAAAATTTGATCCTGAGATCCTCTCGCAATCCGTGCCGTTACAGGAGCCAGTCTGCCACATGTATAGAGTATTGGAGAGTATCGGGAAGCCACGCAGCTACATGCAGCGACAGCGTTTTTCAAAGATTCGATTTGCCTCATGCTTTGGACCAAGGCAAACTTGACCACCACGTGCTGGCGGTGTGCCAACAATGCGATAGCGAATTGCCTGGCAAATTGAACCCGAAACCTCCCGAAACACAGCCAAAATACAGCAAATGCTAATCTGCAGGTGACACGGAACCCTCGCCACAAGGATGGCTACATTCCGACCTCTGAAAAGCACTGAAAAAAGGAGTGGAAGCAGCTTTGGCAGCTTTCATGCTATACAAAGAAGGTGAGGATCCACGCCAATCTTCCCAGTCTGCGAAGCCTCAGGCAACACGTCTGACAACTGGCAAAGAGAGTCTGCTGCAATGCTTCTGAGTTTGTGGGTCTTAGGCGTGCGGGAGTGTTTCGAGTCCAAGGTCCCAGGGGACGAACTGTTACCAGGCGCTGCCCTTAACAAGAGCACGAACCTGACCTTTGCACTTGTATTCAACAATGGACCATCAATCCTCCTCTCCTCCTCTCCAAACGCGTCATGATGCAATGATGTTGCAAGTTGAATCTGGGGCCGAAGCTGCAATCTTGGGGGCACAACTCTTCGCTGCAAGTCTTCACATCTCTTGTGGAGCCTATGACGACATGCTTCCCGCTGAAGCCTACTGAAACACAAGCAAGAATAGTGAGGTCCTGGCCAAAACACTCCTTGCCATCGTGTGCCGCAGGAATGGAGATGTTTCGCAAGCGCTCTGTAATTCCCCCGCCGCAGGACTTGGTGCAGGCCTCCAGGACACGACGTTTCCTTCAAAAAAGTAATCTCGTCAATCAGGCCTTCCACTCACTCCAATCTGACCACATGCAATCTATTGGGCAAGGCTTCTGGCCGCACCTTAGAGTGCCAGCTACAGTCGTGCACTCGTGCCCCTGACGCGCACAAGGAAAACACCACGTCTATCTTGCACACAGCTGTCATGTCCTGTAGGTCAATGTATTCTGAGGAGCCGTGCAGCTTCTGCTGCTCGTCCTGGACCGCGATGTTATGGAAACCGTCCAAGTGTCACGACACTTATGCACTGCAAAGTACGACTGCAACTGACATCCTGCAGTGCGATAAGGTTGCACATGCAACGTGTTTTCGTTCCGCCCAATCATTGTGCAGCCAGTCAACGGGTCTAGCGTAGTCCCTTTGCCCATCGCACGCATGAATGTTGAGGAACCATGGAAAAGCCGTGTAGCCCGTTTCTGCGTCTTGCATATGGAACAAGACTAGACTCCACTCGTTGATGCAGTTTAGCACATAAAGAGCTTCCCTAGTTGATGACAGGTATGTTCTCAGCATGCTACTGATGCTGTTCTTACACTTGCTAATCTTGCCCTTCATGGCCGTCTTGCTGCTTTTGCTCCCACTCAGTTTGTGACTATCTTTCTGTTTGTTGTTGATCATTCTTGCTGCCAGACGAAACTATCAGCAACGTCCAGATTCCCATGGCCAGCTGCATAGTCAAACCCCTGACCTGGAAGCTTGGAAGCCGTTGGAACAGAAACTTTGCTTCCGCTGCTGTTGTCTGCAACAACCAGCACATGCCTTTTTCCCTACCCACTTGTCCCGAACCCCGTCCAAGAAGGCATATCCATCATTGCTGGGGAGTGGCTATGCATACCCCCGCTGACTCATGTTTCCTTCAAGGACCGCAGTCCCCTTTCCTGGAAGCAGGCCCATTGAGCTCTGAGGAGCACCCGGAGATGGGTTTGGGGACCTTGCAAGCCGTCCACCTTTCTGCTTTTTCTTGCTTAAGCGTCTATTCTGCCAGCTGAAGCCGCACAGTAACGTCATGCAGCCCTCAACGTTGCCCGGTGCTGGTCAGTATATACAGCATCCCTCCGAAGTCCTCGCCCTCACATGGTCTTCCACCAGAACTTTCTTCTACAATGCGCTTCCTTGCACTTGTGGCCTGAGTAAACGGAGTTTGCAAAGTTGACTCCCGATAGCAACAGCCCCGCACCCAGAGAGAGATGTTGCTGCCGCATGTTTGACCTGGAGTCGATACACTGCAACACACTACCGCAAACCACACCAGTCTACAATAAGCCTACAAGGCACTTGGCATCATGACAGATTTGTCATGAACTATACACGTCCCCAATCTGAGGTCAGTGCTACAATGCGACCAGTGGCTCCAGTCTCCCCATCTGCAGTCAATTGGACATGCCTTCTGAGCACAAAGCTTCTCCTGCGCTCTCTCAGTAGAGTGTTGCATTGTCTGTCGGTATCTTTGCACAAATCTCCTCTTCCAAGGGATCATTGCAAGGCCGGCCGCCACCATCCTTGAATACACGATGAGAGCGCTGTGAGCCTGCACTTCGTTTCCGCTCTGCCTCTTTAACCAAAACTTTGCGTTCTCGAAGAGTCGTGCCGTTGCCGCAGGTGACAGAGCCTTCACAATCAGATTGATCCATCTGTCTATCCCACCAGGCAACAAGCTGGGATGCCGGGCAGGGTTGCCAGGTGCTCCAATCTGCTAGCACACAGTCCTTAAAGCATGAGGCATCTGATATGTAGACAGCAGTCTCGCTCTTGAGCGCAGAACAGTTGGGCATGCCTCCAGAAGTCGACACGCAACTGCTTTACAAAAAAAACTACAGATCACAAGAGCGCCATGCATATCGTTGATATTCCTTGATGGGCCTTCACGTTGCAGACCTCCTCATCCTGAGTTGCTCCTTCACATTTGTTGCCTTGGCGCTTCATTGGGCGCCAGCGGCACTGCAAAACGTGCCTCTTCATCAGCAGCGAGCCGTCTGCAATTGCGGCTTCCGCAATGGATCGGCTTCTCCTGGCTTTCGCAGACTGCTGGTGATAGATCTACACGGATGATAGTTTGGGCCGGAAGGGCAGCTTGACTCCACCAGCACAAGTTGTTGAACATTCGCCCCATCCACTCCAGTCCTTGGTGTAGTAAGTGGCTGCTCAATCCAGTCAATGTGGTAACGAGTGGCTCGGTAGTTGGTAGCCCCACAGAGGTTCAGAACCAGACTGACCATCTGCAGTCCCGTGGACACAGCGTCGTTGAACAGTCCTGGTGCTGCCAGCAAAGAAGGCACCAAAGTCAGCTGTGTTGCAAGAACATTGGGCACAGACTGTACCTGGCCAGGGGTCCTCTACTTGGACGCCCTCTGCCATGTTGCAGGGCCTTGGGCAACATAGACATCAGACACTGTTTACCCTGCATGTCCCCCTCTGAGCACGCAGCTTCCCCAGGCTATTGTTTTGGATTTTCACTGGCTTGCCCCTTTGCCGTGTACCACCGTCACACGAAGCAGTACCTGCACTTGCCGGAGCGCAGGAGTTTGAAGCAGCTGCTTCAATTTGCTGAGTTCACAGTGGCTCCAATCGCTCCAAACGTCCCATTGGCAGTCAACCGGACAGTCGACTTCATTGCAGCGGTCAAAGTCCTGTGCAATAGCCACCGGCTCTGCCCAAGCAAGAAAAATGCTGCAAAGCAGCTTGCAAAAAAAAACAGCGCAAGCTTGCGGAGACATGTTTGCTGCATTCAGCCAAATTGAAACGTTGCACGCTAGCCCAGCACTCAGCCTGTACATTTCGGAGTGTTAATGAGCACTAAGAAAACCTCTCAGTAGGCTGCAATTGGTACAGCCTGCAGCATGTACACCTGGGCTTGTAAAGATTGTGTCGGCGAAGTACTTCAAACTTGACAGCACCATGAGAACAATGACAGCCGATCAAGTAGGAATCGAGCAGGAACAGCATGAAGGGGGACCCACATAACAGCTCGCGGAGATTGAGGTGGGGTGGTCTCAGGCGTCGCGGGCCAGGGCTGAACAGCCTGTGCGTCACGAAATTAGTTGCACCGTGGAGCCATTGCCTCATCTTCGTCTGCCTCATCTTCGTCTGCAGTAGGTTTGCTATCCTCAGTTCAAATCGCTTGGAGAGGTGCAAACAGAAGCGTGCTAACACTAAGCAAAAGTCCTCCGCATGCGCTGGCAAGCACGGGCACGATGCTGCCCGCACCAAAGCTCCGCCATCCTTCAGACAACGCCGCATATGCTGCAAAAATCTGGCTTTTGCATTCGTTAACTTGACATGACTGCCCGCGGGCCTCTTCATCTTCTCGAGTCTCAAGAGCCGGGCTTGGCCCGGTGATTGGATCAAATCTCGAGATCTCCTCGTTTTCCTGTGCATCAGGTCGTCTCCGCGCCTGCGAAGCCAATCGTTGCACATATCACGTCATGTCGCATGCAACGGACACGAATGTGTCCTTGCAGTTTTTGCTGCCTGCTTTGGCTTGGCTGCCGTGGCTGCTCGACTCTTCTTGCGCTTCTTCTGCCTGAGCCAGCCATGTCACAACGTCTGCATCCGCTACAGTCCCAGAACAGGCCTCTTGGGCTTCTGCACAGCCAAGTCATCAAACTGTGCCACCCTTTGATGATGGTAATGGAGTCCAGGCTTCACAGTGGTCAAGTGACAAGATCACGAAGTCAAAGGTTGTGATGCTGAGGCTTGGGCAGCTGCTCAATGTCCCGTGGATCCTGTGTAGCACGCTCTCCGTCAGCTGCCAGATCAGTTCAAACAGCAGAACTGATCCAGAACATGACCACCTCCTGCCACCGAGCCATGTTCTTGGGCTTTGGCTCGCAAACCTTGCTGTATTAAGACCAGGGTAGCAAAGCTGGCACATACAGACTTCAGCAGCCTCTTGAGGACAAGGCAACGCGCAGAAGGGACGGACCACTGGCAGACCTGAGCTCTTTGACTTGTCAATGCCTGGAGAAACACTACTTGACCTGCCTTGTCGCTGTTGATAAGAAGCTCTGGAAAGTGCTTTCCTGCTACCACAAGCAGCGGAAACCCAAGAAAATCCATGGAAAAGCATGCATGTGTAGCAGTCCGAAAGGACAAGAGAAGCTCCATCTTCTCCGACATACCTTCCAAATGCACCCAAGAAAACTGCGGGATTGAACTTCCAAACGCGCCTAAGCTGCATACCACAGCCGCAAAGGTCGACGGCTGCTGCCCTCACGGTCACCTTTCATTGCTTCATCTTCTGTTGTGGCCCTGGTCGTACCTGGCTTGAGCAGACTGTAAGCCCAGGGAGCCAGCCAATGTCAACTCCGCGAGATGCTTGTCGTAAAGCAACCGAAAGATTTCATCACCACCTTGCAGCCAAACTCGATGTAGTCGTGCCAGCGCATTCAAAAAGAGCTGAGCCGGGCGCATGTGATTTTCAGCACGGTAGCCACCATGTCGTTGAATGTGTCAGCAAAAGCCAACGTCGAATTGCTGCTCACAGAAATCACGAAAATCAACTATTTCAAATGAAGGACAACGCCTCTCAGCGGGCAGGACAACGCCTTACTACGCCTCAAGCTGAGGGTTTGAGCCCAACATCACGCAGTGAGGGAGCTGCAGATATTCAGCAAACAAAACAGCAAGATACTAGTGTGATCTTACATGACAAAATATGTCCAGACTGGCCTCAGATGCGCCAATGCACCTGCATGCTGAATGTTGCATACTTCGCATGAGTTCTCACATTCCAGCAGCGGTTGCAACACTTGCAAACCAAGCCCAGCACTCAATGCCCCCATGCCGTGGCTGTAAGGCCACGGTCCTTTTGCGACCTCACATCTGTTTTGTGCAGGCACTCCTATTTCAAGAATCGCACAGCATAGGCTTTGGCTTTTCCATCCTTGACCACAACTTTTTGAACAGTATGACCAAGGACTCCAATCATACCACCTGATGCAGGCACACAGGGCACGCCACTCTCGAAGTCAAGCTTCACACCGGTGCTGCCTGCAGTCTTGCTGCTGACCCACATGCCCAGTCGAGTCACCAGAGGAGGCCTCAACGCATGTGAGGATATCGCGAACATTTGTCTAATTCCCAGACCAGCATGACTTCGTGCAAGTCTCCGACATGCAGTTGTGGTGGTGCCGTGACGTTGAAAAGCACATCATCAAAGGGTACAGTGTTCTCCTCACATGGGAGAAACCAACAACCCGCAAAGTCAACGTGCTAAACATTCCGAGCTCTCAACCACACCGCTTGGCGTTATCTCCAAGGACACGTCCTGTCCAATCACCGTAAAGGCAAACTTCTGCACTTCAACAAATGTTCCTGCATAGGCAAGCATCTGAATCCAACACAGCCCGCATAGCGCATGGGTGCTGACTATTAGGCCGGCGCCTTCTCTGCTCGCATTATTCTTCGGCCTGGGATTCAACAAGCAGGACGCAGGAAAGTGATAGTTCAACAGAGCGCATGCGAGAAGTCTACAATCTGTTTATCTGTGCAAATGTTCAGCATGCCAAATCAAGGCTGAGGCTAACCGCTGCAGCCGCATCCTGACCAGCAATTGCAAAGCAAAACTCGACACTTTGTATGAAGTTCCGCCAACGGATCTTCACTCAACAACTTCCACAAAAACGAGCAAACGGGCTGCTCCACAGCTGGCAAACAATTACGTACAGCGAATTGCACCTTAGCGAGATACCATACATAAAGTGGCCATGACGTTCAACTTTAACAATTTCAACAAAACCTCCCTGGCGGCTTTTGGAAATTGCCTCATCGGTGAGTGATCCTTCTTCTCTTGAACTTGTGTCACCTTCCGACACCCCGCACTGAATTGCAGGAAATGGGGAAGTAAAGCCATCTGGATCGGACCAGCCTTCGTGATGTGATTGTAGGGTTGACGCAACTGCCAAGTGCCATGCCAGCTTGGCCAAAAAAATGGCCAAACATAGCCTTCAAGTGCGTAGCGGTGCGTCGTGCCCGTGGAATCTATCGAATCGCAAACCGCCTTGTGCTGGCAGAAACCATCATGTCATGCAGACAACCTTGGTGGTTGGCGCGACATGTAAATTTGACAGAGACGAGACGTGGGATGAGGCCTCCACGTGGAAAGAGCTGCAATACGGAAATTGAAGAATGTTTCAAAATACGAAGAAATTAGAGCACTAACTGCAGCGGAACCAGAAATGGCAAGAATGTTGGAAAAAGTTCGCACTCAGTGTTCACAAGTAGGTGGACAATTGAAAATCACGATACTGCCAAAAATCCTTGTAATCGGTTGGATTTCGCATTGTCGTTCTTCGACCCTCATGCGGACATGACTTTAACGCAAGAACATGCCAACCCAAGATTCGCAACGCGGTCTTCCAAGGTATCGTTATGTAAGAAGACAGTACATGACATGTCATCAAATGTTGTTCGAATTCGAACTCACACCATACGTTTTGCTGTTGGGCTTGGAATCAAGCCTGACTGAAAAAAGGACAACAGTTTGGCAAGGTTTGGGGTTCGACATACTGGGCTTTTTTGCACACATGCAATGGCACAGCCAATACTCCAAACAACTAGCAGCGATGCAACCGTGTCGTTTTCAATTTGCGGTCTCAAGGCTCTTCTGCAGACATTTAGCTGTAGCGATCAATGGCGTAGCGGAGAGTACCATGCATAACTGGCTAAGGGTTCCTTTGCGCCAAAGATCACACAGTTCAGAACTTACGAACGATGAATTCACATACAATGCAACTACAAAGTTTTGGGTTTGTGCAAAGTGGAACCCCCCACGTAGAATTGCAAGACACTTACTGTGAAACGTTGAACCAGAGCCCTGCAAATCACAACACTTGTAGAAGTGTAGAAATCTCATCGGACAAAATGACAAACGCACTGGCCCATCAAGATGCACAATTTGTCAAATTTTGTCAGTGGGAAGCTCTGCTACACAGTAGCACTCAGCACAGCTGGACGAATTTTACTTCATCAAATCATTCAAACAAAATTCGTCCGTCCAATCATACGGCTTCTTCTTCAAGGTATCCATTTCAATGTACAAATTCGCACACGTTCAATCATGCACTCTCTTTTTGACAGAGGTGTTGACTGTCCTGCGGTGACAAGCCTTTGGCGAACGGTCGGGTAGGCTACTACTGCTGCTATGCACACACACCATCATTATTCGGACCACTGAAGAAATGTTTGCGAAGGTAGCTGAGCTTGGAACCAAACTTTCATGCACAAATGCTGCACCAGTCGCCACAACCAAGCAAAACTGCGCATCATTTCAAAACATTGTGTTTGAGGCGCTTGTCCCAACAAAACACAAACTTGGCTTATTTGTAGACATGAAAGCGGTTAGCAAAGCAAACAAAACCTCTTATTTCATCAAACCACTCAAACAATATTTAGTCAGTCCAAAATTTTCTTCATCAACAAAGTACCAATCTCAAAATATAAATTTGCACACATTCAATCATGCACTCTCTTTTTGACCGGAGTGTTCAATGTCCTGCTATGACTGGCCTTTGCCTCCCTCTTTCCCTTTAGGCCAGCAACGTCCACAAGGCACGAGTAACGGCAATTTCTTTGCGCGGCCTTTGCCAAGCAGCTTTCTCACACCTTGCCAGAACGTCTGCTGGATTGCTGCTGCTTGGCCCTCGAGCACCACCCAACACTCCCCAACTCCTCCTCAAGAGGCGGCACGCTGCGCACTGTGGAACTGAGAGTTCCATTGCCGGACCTGCCCTTCAAGATAGTTCCTCGGGCCCCTTCATCATCAACAAACACCAAGAGGTACTTACGACGCACGAACAAGGTCATCTTTCCACAGCCTCATGCTTGCGCCAACACGCGGGCTCAGTAACGACCTGCTCACTGTCGTCGACAGTAAGGTCCTGAGACACTCAACACTCAAAGCCTTGAGAAATCAGGAAACAACTTCCCAATTGATCATTTGACAAGCTTGACCCAAGACCACCCGCGACTCGCGACGTCTTCGTAGTGAGAGTCTGACATTGTCTGCACATGCACACACCTCGGCTTTCCTCGGCCAAAAGCGTTCGTTCATGAGCTTCTTCAAGTCATGGACACAATCATCGCTCAGGGTTCAGTCAGCCGGGCGACGAAACAAACGCTCAGTCAAGGAATTGAAGAAAGCACAACAGCAACGCCCCAAAACGTGGCCTTCAGGGAACGTGAGACGGGCCTTCATCTTCGCAATTTCTTGTTTATTCAAAGAGCCCTCAGAAACGACCTCCTCAAACCTTTGCAAGATCTGATTCGTCCTGGATTCGGTGTTGGAAACCGTCTTCGCATGTCTTCCTTCACAGCTGTGGATCAACCCACGCGTTTTGGTGCCCATGATGCTGTTCAAAATGGATGCATTGCTCAATTGTCCAGTGATGCCCAAATCTCTCAGTGACAGCAGCAAGGCTGGCTGCAAAGCAAATGGAAACGCATCACACTCTCCCACGTTCCCAACAAGCTCAAACTTGAGGCGAGGTCCTTGGCAACTTTTGCATCACGGTAGCCATACTCGCATAATCCTTTTTCCCTTCAAACCTTCCCACCTGTGCTTAAACATCTGCGCGTGCAAGGCCCTCTCCTCAGGATCAAGCTCCCTGGCCCTGGCTACCCATCTTTTGAAGAATGCCGCAAACAAGTTTCCTGGACGCCCCCTACGTATGGCCTCTTGCAACCAAACTTACGCTAAAGGGTTCTGTGTGGTTGCACTGCTCCTGTCCAAGACCTACCACAACAAGCAGACAGCCAGCACTCTCCTTTTTACTTGGGTTGCTCTGAGTGTAGCTTCTGAGGGCTTGGAGGCAGGAAGGCTTCTGTCCAATCCGTTCGCCCCCTCTGAAACTGTAAACCAGAAACCTCTGGGCTAAACGCAAATTTAGGCGTGGTGAAACTAAGGTAAGAACTGAACTCCGTGGGCTCAGGCTGGCTTTATTCCAATAACACAATCCTCAGAAGTTATGTCACTCCTCCACTTGAATATATAATAAATATATTCGAATCTCAACTCAAGCAATCAAGTCGTAGAATCAACAAATACCTATGTACTCATTGAATCACTCGAGATGCGCTCATTTTCTGCTTCGCGCTCATGCAGGTAACGACAGGGGTAGGTCCAATTGACATAGACACGTGATGCCACGCGTGCAAGCGAATGCCCTCTGGCATCACCCGCACCTCCACCCCCATAAACACCTGATGCCTTCCGAAACATCTGCACATACCTTCCAAACTGCAAGCGAGAGGCATCATCTGACACATTGCTTTTGGAGCACACGTGAGTACCAGCTCATTGCATGCGACTCCAGATCCGCTTCGGCCACGGCAAACAGCATATCGGCTGCGTCGCACACAGCTGAAAAGGAACGAATCAGGCACGACCGGGCAGCTTCATTGTCCAGGTAGAAGAAGCACAAACGTTGGTTGAGCACATGCTTCCACGTCAGCTTTGCAACAAGGAACGGAAGGATCTCAGCGAAAAAGATCAACTGCTTCAACCCAGTTCGCCTCCACTTCGCGACGAACCAACCCAGTACTCCATCACCGAAGAATTCCTGGCAACCGGTGGCCATGTCGAACATGACGGCTCCGTGCGTGACCAAACGGCCCCCATCCTCACAAGCACCATCTGAAAAGATTATGACCGGCGGTTCACCTCTCCACGCAGAAATCTGGCGAGGCCCTGATTGGCCTAACATCCTCAAGGCTTTAGCGGCCTGCACAACACCCTGAAAGGAGGCACCTGTACCATCATGCAACCGCAGGGCTCGACTGATAAGCTGCGTGCAAATCTGAGCGCACCTCCCGAACACGTGGTTAGTTGCGAACAGGAGCCTTCTTCGACACGGCCGGCACGATTGGCAACCTCCATCAATCCTTCTAAGGCACGTGCAAAAGAAACGGTAACCTCCAAGATATCAAAAAGCCCTAGCCCTAGCGAATGGCTTAAGCTTATCTCCCCGGCAAATCTCCCAACCCAAAAGCTCCAGCAGCTGCTCTGTGGCTGACGCAGAGTCGGTAAGATCATCACATTCGCCTTGGCATGAGTCGTCGTAATAGCTTGCACTTACGAGCCATATAGGAGTCGTGACATGATAAGCTTCAGGGCCCATGCAACCCTATTGAAGCCAGTAACTGAGCTTTTCCTCTCGAAGGGTAAAGTTGCCACCTCAAAGAAATGCACCTCATCATCTTCAGGATTGTACACAGCCAGGACGGTGGACCACGACTCGTCTGGGTGTCGCGCCATATACGCAGACTTCA